TTATTATTATTATTATTATTATTATTATTATTATTATTATTATTATTTATGTATACAAAACAAATACAACAAAATCCTGCAATGGCAAACATGGCTCGAGACTCAAGGCAGGCGTAACAAAAAAGAAATATAGGCAAATAATAACATGAGATTATGTTTTGGGCAGTTTATAATAGAAATTCGCTACAGAGTGTTTTAGTTTTTAGGGCTTTTGCATTGGTACAATATTTTAAAGTAGACAAATACGAAGAAATATAAGTAGAAAAAAACTATAAATCTAAGTTTTAACATGGCATATTTACAGCTATGTGAAATGTGGCTAATATTAGTATTAAATTTACAACAAAAACTTTCTTACTTGGAATATTCAAACAGAAAAATCCAAACAGTATAGTTTTCACGTCAAATGGTTGGTCAATTTCTAACTTTCTGTTCACAAACAAGAAAATGTTTTTTCCAGAACTGGAAACTGGGAGTATAAGGACAGACCCAGAAAAGATGGGTGACCTCAGAGCTGGGGCAGAGTGAACACATTGGCTCTACATTTGGACGGTACTTGGAAATTATACAATTGACAGGATAGCATGTATGCAGAATCTTTAGAGACACGTCTAGAATCTTATTAGTTATGAAGTATGTTCTAGGCAACAACCAAACATCTCATGCCAGCTCTGCAGCTCCCGATTATTACGAAACAAAATCCGTATTTCCAGTCTTGGCCAGCAGGGGGCGACGTGAGCCGGTTTCGCTGTCTCCTCTCCTCCCTCCTTGTTTTCCAGCAATCTGCTGCAGGTTGAATCCTCTTCATTCCCACTCAAACTGCTCGTGTCCCTCCTTCCTCCTCATCCTCCGGTGTCTGTGGAGCTCCTCAGCAGCGGATGGCCTGGATCTGACCGGTAAGGGTTTCCGTTTCTCCCCGCAGACAGACAGCAGGGCTGGTTTTTGTCTCTGACTCTAGGTCTCAATCTCAGCTCAGCAGCAGCTTCTCATTAGGATTTATTGACTCTGCTGCTGCATCTGCCCGAGAGGCTGCAAACGAGCCAAGATGGTGATATCTTTAGGTCATTGTGTTCTAATATTAACATGTCCAGGAGATGCAGTTGAATATGTTCAAGCAATGAGAGCATCCTCTGTAGGAGGACTCAGCTCAGTGTGTTTTCATTTAAAATGCTTCTTTTGATAGAAATAAGGAATGTTGGGTGCATTCAGCAAAAGAAACGTAAGATGAATGAGTTGTAGTGAAGTGAGGTTTAAGCTGGAGTGCTTTGAGTTGTACAGTTTCCTGCAGAGGTATTTGATCACTGAGGGTCTGGGGACCAAAGAGCAGCATCCACAACCTCCGAGGCCTCAGTGCAGCTTGGTGATTTAAAGGGGCTCATTGCAATGTTGGGAAGACTGGACAAAAAAAATGTTTGTAATGTAAGAAACAAAAAATAGTTTCTCACATTGATGTGTCCTCAACTTCAAAATTTGAAAGCAAAATTTGTGACCGGATGTCACCCACTCTGTGTTTGTTTACCCGCGGGAACAGCCGAAGTGACCGAAAATGAGTCAAAAGTTAAACTTACTGAGCATATTAGTTTATTTGTTTACGCACCACAACCAGCCGAACGTTGGCCGATCACCTGAGCCAAGCTTCCGGTTTTTGATGAGTACTTTGTTTACATCGAATGCATACCCG